TGCTGCTGGTTTGAGAAGCTGGGCTATAACAAGGCTAACTGTTAGTGGAGTCATTTAGACAACGCCAGATGAAGATCAGGAGCTTTTGTTTAAAAAGTTCAGTGACGCGGTAAATCGAGTTTGCAGCCAGGAGGGGCTGCATCGCGGAACATGGCGGGCTGCCATCAATGCATCGGATCGCCCGGTTTTGCATGGCTTGCAGACGCTGGAGTTGGGTCACGCGGAGGGCTGCAGAGAAGCTGCAGACACCATATATCATATCCGGCATGACAATAGCCTTTACATATATCTTGCGCGAGCTGCGGGAGAGGCATCGACGGGCTCGCCACAAGGCGCCTATCTTCCTTGCAACTTTGGTCACTATGGCGCTTACGTGTACATCCCTGATCCTTGTTGTGTTAAGCAATCCATTCCCCTCCTGTTTTAGATTTTCCCCATTTCCGCTATCTTCACTCGCCTGACTGTCCTTGGTTACCTTGAACGGTGCTTCAATTAGATGAGCGTTGTTGGGTTGACACGATTTCATTTGAATATTCCCTTTCCACATATTCCTCGACTCCCTGGAGGCACCTGTGCCTCGCTTAGGAGGGAGGGATGGTGTAACAGTTCCCTGTTAGCGCTAACCTTATCTGCCCTCTACCTCTGTATCTTGCACCTTTCCAAATCCTGTCAGCACTCGCGTTATCACCTTAGGGCACGAAGTGCCCTATATCAGTTGTGTTACCTTGAGCAAGCATTGTCTTTTCCAAGAATACCTTCAAACGGTTACAAAGTCAGCGTGAACTCTGTAATAGCGTAATTTTTGTCGCGATCGCTGCTAAGGTTCGACGTGATGTTACGTCATCATAAGTGTGGGTGTAATTTATGATTCTGCTGGTGCTGCAGCTGGATTTTCGTTTGCAGCAGGTTCCTCATGTACGATAAGCAGCATCAGTAAGCAGTAGGAAGTGACTGAGGATCTGTGCGTGGTCAGATTATTATTATTATTATTATTATTATTAAAAGTAGAAAGGAAAAGGACATATGGAAACGAGTTAAGAGTAACTCTCCACCACTGTAACTAGATACTATATACAGTCAGAAAGTGCAACAACTAGGCACAAAACTGACAGAGTACTGAGACATTCGACGTCCTGACACCTAGCTTCAACACATCTCCGTAGCGCTAACCGACAGCCTTCCAACTTGGAAGGTTCAAGGTTATGGAAAGACCAATTCGCGTTGGTAGATCTAATACCGAGCACGTTACGTAGAGACTTACGTAGCCTAAGTGAAATACCGAGCACCTTAAGTAGAAACTTACGAAGCATAGCGATGTCGTTTTTTCTGCCATGTGAACACAATAATAGAAAAGCTGACAGGATCGCTTTTCCAAATTCTATAATGACCTGTTGAACGAGGAACAATATTTATGACTAATCAGAAAGAAAAGCACGATGTTTTGCAATGAAAAACCATAACATTCGATATTTGGATTTGTTCCAGAACATTTCTGCGTGTATCGCATTCAAACATTCGCACCTTTGATATTCACCTGCTACAATAATCTATACTTAACAAAGGAAACAATATAATCTATGACAAAACTCAAATTTTCATTATCACAAGGCAACAAGAAAACCTTAAAGTCGTTGAAGGAGGAAATTAACTAAGACGTGGTCATGAAGAAAAATCACGATTGTTAGCAAATAAAACCACAACAGGCCATATATGTTATTGTCTATTCACTGGGGCTTGGAGTCAAAAAGGCATTTATCTCTTGCATTGATTTATTTATTTGTTGTTTATCAAATTCAAAAACATCGACTCGTGTATCGCAGTGGAACATTCGCACCATCAATATTGGCTTCGTGCTGGAATCTATACGTACGCTATGGTTGATCTTCAACAATCCAGAGCGAAGATCATAGTGGTCAATGTTATACTTACACTGCATGTAGGCACAGCGTGTTACGTGCATGAGGTCTCCAGTCACTAAATTGCGAATAGGAGTAGACGAGGAGTGCGAATTAGCTGAGGACGCGAGTACAAGTTTCATTTCTTGGCTAGTCTCTGCACAGTCCCATGTAAATCCGATATCTAGCTTGTTGCATGGGCAATTTTTAATGATGATTGCTACTGCAAAGTCTCGATTTTGAATCGGTTTAGAGCCTCGTGCCGTAGCAACTCCATCCCGGACTTGGCGTACTTGGAAGAACGTGGAAGCCTGTGAAAGAAAGTTAGGAGTGGGTATGTTCGTATGGACTCTCTGGGAGAACAGCACATTGGGTGAAAGACGCTGGCCCAGGATCTGAACACATGCACCGACGCTGTTAGAGGGTTACACATCTCTACATCTCTGACCATTGAACCATTTTTAAATGCTGGTAAGATACAAGGAGTATCCAGCATCAGTTCTAGGAGAAAGGCAGTCGGTTGACTACAGTTAAGCTGGACTTCTGCATGCACTTCACCTTTTCCACACGCTGATATCAGCACTTGCACTGGCGCTGACGGCGAAAAACCACCTCCGATTCGAGTTACCCAGATCTGAATGCTGGAGACTTTCAATGCGGCTTCAGACAAAGGTTGGCCTTGTCCATTTCTCACTCGAGCTGTAAGTACAAATCGTTCTCCTGAAACCGCAATGAACGACGGGTAAAAAAAGCAACAGCTTGACAAATCAATGTCAGTGTTATCCACGACTTTACCCATGACATCAAGGTGTCTTTCTAGTTCGGAAAGGTTCTTGCACTTTTATGTAATTCTTCTCGTTAGCGAACGTCTTTTGGCCACAATGCCATGGGACGTTTGTGAAAGAAGTTGAATGGAATGCGGATGCAGCTTAACGAGGTCTTCATTTGTTAGAGCATATTTGTGTCCCTCGAGTATGTGCTGGACAGCGCCCGTTGCACTGTTCCACTCCCGATTACATTCTTGAATTTCGACTGTATCATGTCGAAATGAGCACTCTGCAGCAGCGCGTGTCTGACGATCCTAGTGAAGTAGGTCTCAGCACAGTTAATTGTGGCCAGTTGTACCAGAGTGCAGTAACATATAGGTATATCTCTTAATTTGCTGGCCAAAAATCCTATATAATTATAGGATTTGAAAATGTGTGCCTTTTATGCCGTTGTTATTGGTCGTCACGACCAATAATAACGGCATACTGGTTTTCATGGAAGTTGTAAATATTTGAGGCATGAATGTTTACATTTTAGATTCATAGGGCGATAATATTTCTGATGAATACTCATTTTCAGCACTAATTGGAAATTTGAGCATAATTGTTCAGCTGCTGTCATGGAAAGGACTGAAGCAGTGAATGTGCAGAAGAACATCTCCTTGCAGATATTGGGCAAGGAGATGAGCCTGAGATGTTAGTGTTTGAAAAAAATTATCTTATTCAACTCTCGATATCTACTAAGACCTAACAAGGAAGAATTGGTCACAGACTGTTTGCTAGTCTCATGCCACACCCATTTTGGGTTGAAAAATATGACCAAAATCCTATATATAGGATTTAGCAAATTAAGAGATAGGCAGTCACGTGATATCTAAACGTCTGACGTTCTAGTGAAGCATGTCTCTGCACAGTTAATTGAAGCCAGTTGTACCAGAGTGCAGTATTAAACATAATTGTATTATCATATAGGCAGTCACGTGCTATCTAAAGAGTGCGCATCCAATATGTGCTAGAGCTGTTAGCGAGTTAGTTGTAGAACGTCAGTACCGTCGGTCAGTGTCGTGCAATGTTATCGCATGAGCTGATTGTTTAGTAACTGGTGGTGTTAGTGGACAGTATAGCGTAACTTGTAGTTCCTTTGTCTTTCCCCTTTGTACATGTATTTGAATTAGAGATCTGCGCTCAGGGACTAGCCTTGTATTTGTGCTTGTGATGATGAAATATTTCACAGTATCGAAGCAGTGACAGCTTGCATGGAGGCACGAACACCACTTGCCAACAAAATACCAAGATAATCGTCGTCCCAATGATCTCTACCATGGATTACAACTCTCGCTGGTGCAGCCTGAGAAGTCCTGTCACGAAAGCCGTGGGTAGCCGGCGCGGCCGCAGCCCTTGAGTGGGATAGGGGGGGGGGGGGGGGTGAACATGTGTCTGCCAGTCAGGCACGCACTCACAGCCTGCGCGGGCCAAGGATGCTACCGCGTTGAAGGACCGGTACATGTTGGTTGGGTGCTGGGCCTAGTGCTGGCCAGGCACTCCTATGATTCCTCCCATGGTTTACAGCTCCCACTCTGGAGAATATATGAGAAAAGAATTTTGCTCCCATCATGAAGCCAACTCTAAGCTTCAAACTTGCAATGGAGACCAACAACTCGCGAGGTCATTATGTCTTATAGTAACGCGTTTGAGATGGAAGTGGTGATGGTGGTTAAATATATCCTAGCTCGTCCATTGCAAAATCTTCCATGTATCCTGGTGTGTTAAAGGTGCGAGGCAACACACAAATTGCATGAGGTGTTGGTTTGTAAATGTGCTATCATAACCTGCATATCCTCTCTGTGTGCTGGTCAGCAATACCACTGGCTGGGTGTGAATCTAACCACGGTTTTTTCGATGGACACATGAATGGCAAGCAAACACCATCGATACCCACATTAGCTATCCAAAGAACAGTCATTGGTTAGTTTGGTCGGACATGAACCAGATCAAATTTTTATGTTGATTGTCAGTTCGCATGAAACAAGGAGCACCATTTGAGCGAATTGCAAAACAATCAGACAAAAATCAAAAACAAAACGAAAATGTTCACCAAGACAAGACAAACCAAAATCTCGTTTCTTTAATGCCACGATAGCACAGGGCCCATAAGGCAGCTTCTTAACTGAGCCGCGAGGAGTAGTTCAGTTTCACGTGATCAGAAAGAAAAGAGCAGGATCGATGAGCTTGGTATTCATTATAAGCGATACCTGTTATTTCTCCATACGCTGGGCCAGGGCGTCAAAAAGGACTTTTCGCCTCTCGCATAAATTCATTCCGTTGTTCTGTATTGTGTTCATAAACCTGAATGCATGTACCACAGCGGAACATTCGCACCATTAGTATTGGCTTCGTATTTAAATCTATACGTACGTTATGATTGTTCTTCAGCAATCCAGAGTCAATGACATAATGGTCAATGTTATACTCATCCTGGGTGTAGGGACAGCGTGTTATATGTATGAGGTCTCCAGCAACTACATCACAAATAGGACAAGACGAGGAGTTCGAATAAGCGGCGGATGCCAGAACAAGTTTCATTTCTTGGCTATTCTCTGCACAGCCCCAAGTAAATCCGATGTCTAGCTTCCTGGTTATGCATCTTAAGATAAATAAAGTATACAACAACAACAACAAGATGATAATTGATACTCCAAAGTCACGGTTTTGAACTGGTTCAATGGCGAGTACCGTTGCAACTCCATTCTTTACTTGGCTTATTTCCGTGTACAGGAAGGCATTCGTAAATGTACACATCCTTACCCCTAGTTTTACGCATTCTTTTGGGGAACACAAATCTACGTCAAAGTCGCTCGCCCTCGATTTGTACATGAGCAGCCAGGTTTTTAAGGGGAAATACCTATCTACAATACTGGCCAATGAACCACTTTGAAAGTCAGGTAAAATACAAGGGATATCCAGCAACAGTTCTAGCAGAAAAGCAGTAGTTTGACTGCAGCTAAACTGGACTAAAGCATGCACTTCCCCTTTGCTATAACCTGATATCGACACTAGCACTGGAGCTGCCGGAGAAAAAGCACCTTCAATTCGAGTTGCCCAGATTTGAATGCTGGATATTTTCAATGCGGTATCAGACAACGGTTGGCCTCGACCATTTCTCACTAGAACAGTAAGGTAAGATTGTTCCCCTGCATATCCAGGATACACCGGGCAAGGAAAGGAACAACGCGACAAATCCATTTCAGTGTTGTCCACGACTTTACCCATAATACGAAATTGTCCTTCCACTTCTGACATTTTCCTGCACGTGAATGCTATTCTCCACAGTAGCGATCTTCCTCTGGCCACAATGTCACGAGACACGTCTGTCAGAAGCTGAATCGAATGTGGACGCATTTTAACGAGGTCTTTGATTCTTAGAGCATTTCTGGGTGCGTCAAGTATGTGATGAAGAGCGTTGTTCGACTCCCGTAAATGGTCTAGGACTTCGACTAGCTCCTTCTTCCGCAATTCACCCTCGCTAATCAGCTCCTGTTTTCGCTTCTCTACTCTGAAAAGTAGCTCCTGGCACTGCTCATGTATCATTGTCTTGATCCTGGACACTTGACTTGCAGAGTCACACTCAAATGCTGTGAGAAGATCACCGGCGTAATCCAGGCTTTCGTTCACTTCCTTTTCGTTGTCATCAGGGATCATGTTGCTCAGGCGCTCCGTAAGTCTGTGTCTTAAGGTTCCGGCTGCTTCAGCGCCATCATTGATCTGATCGATATGTGACGCGTGCTCATCTTGTTCCTTACACGTTTCACACAAAACCTCCCGACATAGGGTGCAGTAATACTGCAACTTCATCTTCATATGGTAAGAGCAAAAGTGCACTCGCCCGTGATGAGATATCTGGAAACCTTGAGCATCCACAACGGCAGAATGGACTAGGTGAGAGCTCTTTGATTCTTGTGGGATGTTAGGAGAATCCATGCTTTCACCAGCAAAGATTTGATGATCATCGTCTTTAGTGTTCGCATTCGTGGTTCCATCATGACTATCTAAAACAGTGTGGAACATGGAGTCGTCAACCAACACCTGTTTGTAATTGCGACCAGGCGGTGGACATGGCGTAGTACGTGGACATTTGGAACAGCGTATCCGTCCATCTTGCTGAATACTGTGCGGAAGACAGTCTAAGCAGATCTTGTGAAGACACTTGAGCAGTTTTCCTGCCTTGCCGGCTCCATTCTTGCAGAATACACATGGTGGCCGCATCTTACAAACGAACAAATTAAAATCCCTTTAAAAAATAGTCTGAACTGATGTTCAACTGTGTATCAAAGAGATTTCACCAAGAAAAGATTACACTTCACAAATGAACGATTTGAAAATGTCGTTGAGATCGCCTTACTTCAATGGGTGAAAGTTATCAGATTGGCGAAAATTTCAGTGCCTTACGTGTATACCACCATTACCAATCTCTTCTTACATGTGCACGTGTAATATTAGATAATGTCATGGAGAGCGAATCTGCGCAAGTGTTTCGCGTATGGGCTGGGGAAATTGGGGCGAATGGTCTCGCGACAATTGAGTTCTGTTTTCTTTTGTTGGCACATAGCAGACAAAGCAACGTGTAGATCTACTGCACTGATGAAGAACAAACCAGGTAATTAGGCAAAATATTCCTAGTAGGCTTGGTAACGACGAAGTCTGTAACAGTTCCTTTTAGCGCTAACCTTATCTGCCCTCTAGCTCTGTATCTTGCACCTTTCCCTATCCTGTCAGCACTCGCGTTATCACCTTAGGGCACGAAGTGCCCTATCAGTTGTGTTGCCTTGAGCAAGCATTGTCTTTTCCAAGAATACCTTCAAACGGTTACACTGGAAGCGGAGGATTGTTAACATGGTGTTCTTGGAGCTCGCCATTGTCGTGGCGATCCTTGTTCTTTCTGTGTTGCTATTCAGGTTGGCCAGCGAGGTCCGTGAAGCCAGTCGCCAAGTCAGCGCCCGTCTGAGCAACCGACAACAACCGCTCCCTGTGCCGCCCGCTCATTCGTCCGGGAAGCCTCGGCACGCTAAGGAGCCGCCGATCTTCGATGGCAAGCACTCGCAGTTCAAGGAGTGGGCTTTCTCCATTGAGCTGGCGATTCGGTCACTGGGAATCACCGACTCATCGGTGATGGTGGATTACGCAGCGGGCTTCCTGAGCGTCAACGCCAAGCTATGGCTCGTCGCATCGTTGGATACGGGTGTGGAGTTCTCGACGTGGCCAGCGCTGCGTGAAGCCCTCGCCAAGTTGTACGGTCCGTTGCATCATCAAGAGCGGGTGCGACTGCATCTCTTCGCTGTCACATTCGTTACTCAACGCAATAGGACCACAACACTACTGAGAGAAGCTAAATCCGCCTTCGTATCCACTACCGCGCAAGGCGACGTAACTGGTGTCCCACAGCGAAACCTGTACAAGTTAATGAAATCACTGCGGTCGTCCCCGAAAAAGCAGCTTCCACCTATTTCAGCGAACAAAACAGTGGCTAGATCAGATGGAGAAAAGGCGGAAGCGTTTAACAATTTTTTCATTTCGGAAAGCCAGAAGTCCGTCTCCGGACCAACTGAAGCCGTGCCAGAGATTGGCATGTCGCGCATCATAGGAAGCGAACTGAAGGAAATCATCACCACCCAGGAGGAGGTCAGAAAACTCCTTTCCGCTCTTGATTTCCGGAAGTCGGCTGGGTACGATGGCATCCCGACGAAATTGCTCAAGATCACTGCAGACGAAATATCGTGCTCCCTCGCAACACTTTTCAACGAGTCTTTCTCGCGAGGCGAGCAGCCACAGGACTGGCGCGACGCCACTATCAGTCCTCTACACAAGAAAGCCTCTCGTGCAGAGGTCACCAATTATAGACCAATCTCGCTCCTAAGCGTTGTCAGCAAGGTTCAGGAGAGGATTGTTCACCAACGCCTCTACACCCATATTGAGCCCCACCTACCGGCCGACCAATCTGGATTTCGATCTAAGGATAGTACTGAACTACAGCTCTCCCGCCTAGTGCATGAGATTTCCGCCAGCCGAGATTCCGGTCAGGCAGTGTCAGCATGCTTCTTTGACTTATCAAAGGCTTTTGACCGAGTCTGGCATGCTGGCCTCCTGGCCAAACTCGAGCACCTTGGTGTCCGTGGCATTGCCCTAACCTGGCTCACAAGCTACCTGACTCGCCGCCGACAACGCGTCAAGGTTGGCTCCGCTTTGTCATCATGGAAATCCATTCCAGCTGGAGTACCCCAGGTCTCTGTCCTGGGGCCTCTTCTTTTCCTGGTGTACACGATCGACCTCCCCCCAGCATGTACAAGCTCTCACACTAAATGCAGCCAGTTCGCCGATGACACGGCACTCATCGCGACGCATTACACGAGGGATTTGTCAGCTGCATTCCTCCAACGTGCCGTGGACGCAGCAGAACGATGGTTGAAGGATTGGCATCTCCTCGTTAACACCGCGAAAACCGTCGTCCTTTCCTTCCAACCCCAACACACCATCCACATCACGCTCCACTCGACTCGGCTGCAGCAGGTCCACCAACATAGGCACCTTGGTGTTACACTCCAAGACGATTTGCGATGGACCCAACACATCATAGAAACCACCAACAAAGCCAAAAAACTACTACACCAACTCCACAAGACACGTGGCACAATGAACGCTTCCAGCCTATTGTTAATATGCACAACCTACATCCGACCCGTTCTCGAATATGGCAGCCTTGCCCTCTCGAACACAACACAGCAACAGCGGGACACACTGGAGAGAATTCAACGCCGTGCTATACGCATCTGCCTTCGGATTCCCCTCTTTGCACCAGTTCACAACAGCTCCCTCCTCCATCACGCAAAGCTCCCCACCCTTAGCTCACGACTCCTTGTTAAACAAGCCCTACTAGCATGGGACATCCACCACCAAACCTCCCCACCACACCTGCAACAACCACATCTTGCACCACAACGTCAACACCAACCATACACCCTTCGACAGACAAGGACCTACTCCATCGGACACGCACACACGAACAGGCACCGAGATTCCCCCATCAACAGTGCCCTCACCCTCTACAACTCACTCCCTATCGACATGACAACCCAACCTCGTAGAAATTCTTTCCGAAACAATGCATCCAGTCTTCTTTTGAGCAGTACCTGCTCCTGCTCCGCGCATCCCCCTGGTTTCTGATATCTCGAACGTGTACTTAACTATCTCGATCACCCCTGCTAACGTTATTGCCCCCGCTTGTTTTTCATGATCCATTGCTTCCTGCCTCCCGGTTAGTTTCCATCTAGCTGTTTCTGGCTAGTACCAGTTCTATCGCACTTATTAATCATCCTTATTGGCGTCACGCCATCGTGGAATTAAGAATATAAAAAAATACGCAACCGTTACAGCGTACTAGAGCTGGAAGAACCGACGCTGCAAGCTGATTCGAAAGATGTTGCCGAACAGGAATCCCATGTCAGCAACGTTGATCTCGCAGTACAGGACACGGAGCTTCCTTTGGAGCATGACCTTCTCCGTGTTGAGGGCAGGATCGACGGCCGCCGGGCAATTATGCTTATTGACTCGAGATCGACGCACGACTTCATATCGGAAGCTTTCGTGCAAAGAAACGGCCTTGTTACGGAGAGCAAGGACGAAACACTGAAGGTAACCCTGGCTGATGGCTCATCGACATCATCGGGACTGAAGAGGACCGGTCCGGTAAAGGTTATCGTGAAAGACTTCAGCGACACCCAATCTTTCACAGTTTTTCCGTTGAGCCGCTATGATGCTATCATGGGCAAGCCATGGCTGACCAGACACAATCCGGATATCAACGTTCAGACCAACGAAGTCAAACTGAACGGAGAGCCGCTCGTTGCTAAACCCCCTTCCGGCCAAAATAGTGATACGGAGCATCAGGAGTCGCCGCCAATTGAGAGCATGCTCATATCTGGTTCCCAGGCTAGCCGCGAGTTGAGGAAAGGCGCGCAGGGAATCCTGGCGTGGGTCAACGCTACTGACGACGAGGAGGAGGACAGCAAGCCATCAGCCGCCAGACAACACCCAGATCATCAAGAGCAACTGGCTAACCTTCTGCGGCGGTACTCGACATCTTTCCAGACGACCTGCCGACCGAGCTTCCGCCAGAGAGGGATGTCGACCATGAGATTGTGACTGAGGAGGGTGCCGTTCCTCCATCACGGGCTGCCTACCGTCTCCCCAAACCCGAGATGGACGAATTGCAAGCCCAGCTCACGGAACTCCTCCGCAAGGGCTTCATCGAACCCAGCAAGTCACCATACGGTGCCCCAGTCTTTTTCGTTAAAAAGTCTGATGGCTCATTGCGCGTGGTTTCTGATTGGCGTGTTGCTGAGATGATTTCGGAAGCATATCAGAATGACGAGCAGCTTTTCCCAATAATTCAGCGGCTGCGCGGCAATTCCTCTGATAATCTAAACGAGCGGTACTATTGGGATGAAGAGTCCAGGTACCTATACCTCCGTGCAGCATCAAACAATCGCTTGTGTGTACCCAAGTGTACAGTAAGGCTTCAGCTCCTGCAGGAGTACCACGACTGTGTTACGGCAGGCCATCAGGGACGGGATCGTACATATTTCCGGCTTCGTCAATTCTTCTATTGGCCCAAGATGGGCCTTGACGTGAAGAAATTTGTTAAATCTTGCGCATATGTTAGCGCACTAAGGGTGGGTTGCCTAGATCCGGTTTGCTGCAATCGCTCCCAGTACCAGACACCCCCTGGAAAGATATTTCCATGGATTTTATCGTTGGCTTACCCCAGACCCCTCAGGGCTTTGATGCAATTTATACATTTGTTGACCGGCTTACAAAATGTGTCCATTTAGTCCCCACGACTTCCAAAATTGACGCTAAGGGTTCTGCTGATTTGTATCTCCAGAATGTGTTTAGATTACACGGTTTGAGTTACACTATTGTTTGTGATCGGGACCCAAGATTTACTTCTGAATTTTTCCGGGAATTGTTTCATCAATTAGGTACCACCTTGTCGTTTAGTAATGCCAATCACCCACAGACCGATGGGCAGACTGAGAGAATGAATAGAGTAATTGAGGATGTGCTTAGAGCGTTTGTTAACCACAAACAAGATAATTGGGACAAGCTTCTGCCTCTTTTAGAATTTTCAATTAATAGTTCATATCAGTCTTCCACTTCTAGAACGCCGTTTTATCTAAATTATGGACTTAATCCCAAGTCCCCACCAGATT